CTGTATAGGTCCTTTCATTTCCTTATATTTAATGGTTACGTCGACTATTCGAGAAAATATTCTAACATTGCTTTTGTATATTTAATACGGTTTTCAGATATATAGTAATATTAGGTACATATAGGAACGACGTCACGTGGGTGGAACCTAATGTTTACAATTGTTAGTTAGTGAATCTTTAATAAATTAATTTATTATTTTGCATATTACAAATATGACTACTTATGTACGTGTCGCATAATATATTACAGTAGGTACCCGCACAAAATTACGTACCTACTTATTTCCGTATGTAGGAAAACCATAATGTGAGGGAAAGTATACATCTTCCTAAATATTACCGGTGAGCTGTGTAAGGGCCGGTAAGGGGATGAGGTAAGGCCGGCAGCCGTCACATCAAAACCGAGAGCTATTTCTTAGAAATGGCCCTTAAAAGGAACCCAACCAATATATTTGGAGAATGATGATGAGAACCATTATTCCAAGGAAGAGTACATACAAGGCGAACGTCATGCTCATTGGCTGCGAATAACAATGAATTTGCGGTGCTCGTAAATCCAGCAGGTGCGCGTCTGTTATTGAATAGACTACGCCAATGCGAGACTACATTAATCGTAGCCAGAGTCCTTATGAATCAATAGACGTTAGAGCTTCGTAGGCAAAAATAAGCGTATCATCTATCTCGATGTTATTTGTACGTATTTACAAGGTTTTATTTAGCTTAGAAATATTGCTTTGCTATTGGAATTGAAATTGAGAAATTGACATGTCTATGCCATACAAAATGTCATTGAAGCAGATGTATTGTGCTTATATGGCGCAATATATACATTACGGCGAAGTAAATGAGGTATGTCAGGCTATAAGTATGTAGCTAAGTAGGATAACAATAACCGTGTATCACAAACTAAACACGGTATGAGTTTTGTAATATTAATAGTATAAAATTATATTTACAATACATTACTAATCTTAATTTCGACTTATTTTGTTGAGTTGACAAATAGAGTTCCTTATTCCTCAGGAATTACTGGTCCTTATTAGAAGATTTAATTTAAATCCTCCATATTTAGGTATATATAGGTACGTTTGTCGTCTTAATAATATTTATAATTATGTATGGGAACATTAGAAAATAAAGCCCTAAAACAGTGTAATTTTCATGGTTGGTACCCTGATTTCCCCTGAGCCATACCTTTCGTCCTATAACGAGTTAAATCAGTCTAAAAATAAATATGAAATATTAATTTCAGTGCGAAAACAGCTTGAAATCCTTTGTATATCTACGAATGTATGTAAACTTATCTACATTAATACTGTCCCACAAATTCTTTAAAGGAAAACCTGGTTAGTACCTATTACTCTTAGCCGTCATTTAAGTAGATATGCGCATCAAATTGGGTTTGGAGATGTAAATTCTCACTATGTAGACATTACCGTAGTACAAAAGTCTGTGTGTCTGTAATAAACAAATTTTATAGTAGTAGCGTTAATAGTAAAAAGTACAATAGTCTATTAATTTACGTAGTTAGATAAATGTATTTTACCAATTACATTGTCATCGCTAAATGAGGATTATATTGATTAAATGTGTACTAGTGTAGATAGTAAATTGATGAAAACTGCTAGTTATAAACATTAACCATTTTTCCTGTAATATTTTCATTCCATGTTATTATGTAAATTCTTCTGTCAGAAGTATTTCTATTATATTTGTCTCTTTAGATTATTGAAAATACCATGATGGTCAAAGGTCAAAAGTTATGGGTCGTATATGTAAAATTAAAAGCTGTCGTACAATGTACAAATACTTCCTACAATCGTACAGTGTATAATCCTTTAAAATTATTAACAATACGAACCGATTTTACTTTTAATAGGTTTAGTGTGCGGTATAGATTTTTGCAAATTTCATAGGTCATGCCCTTCGGTCATCCATAGCGCTAAAGCATTTTCCTCCTATTTTCTTTCTTTTTTAGAACGTAACGAACTGTGTAATTGGAAACAGGGGCTACTAGCTGACGACTACGCGCATTACGCCCTCTCTGTTTTCTTAGTTCCAAATTTGTAAAGGTCTTTATATATATTGTTCTAAATACATTATCACAATTTTTAACTTAATAATTAATATTGAAGTAAGAATAGTAGGTACCCAGCGGCACATACTGTTGTAATTCGTGATCGCATTTTTTTCCAGTAATATGAAGTTTAATATAAAGTAAATATAACCTTCAACTTTATTATTTTGTACGGAAGATAATAACAAATAAAATAATAATGCATTATCTGAATAGGATAAAATATAATACCCTATTACTATTTTACTTTAAGAATAAACCTCAAAAGTGCGCAGCACGGTTGAGTCGAGTTTATAGCTTGCGAGTGTTATAACACTTTAATATACAAGTAGCCCGTAAAGTTGTTAAAGTGGACGTTGCCGAGTCCCATTTTTCCCCTACTTTATTTTATAAGCGTCGGTTTAATAATAATAAATAAGATAGACAGTGTAGACATATAGTTGTAAGATTCTAGTAGGTATTTGTTAGTCTTATATATCTATTTTCAGTATTATTGGACATATAGTAGTAATATAATACCTACTTTGTATAGTACTAAAATATATTTAAGTATACTTGAGAAAATACAGCAAAATAATAAAAAAAAGTCAATCAAAATTTGGCAGCAGTAACATCCCTCTAACTTTAAGTATTTTCTTCCTCTATAGAGATAAATATACGTTCGTAAAACTACAATAAATCCTCAAGTAATATAAACGCGCTGTCTACACTGGCGAGTGAGGCGTGCGGGATGCGCGGAAAAGCGCGATCGGAGCGGGGCGCAGGGCGCGGGGTGTGCCAGTACGGCAATTTTTCTCTCCACTGACAACATGATGTAACGCCAATATCGTACGCTGAGCGATTAAGCCGCGTACGCCGATATTTCAGACTTGCCCCTACTAACTGTCAAAGTGTCGACAAGCAACGCTATACATGTGCATAGACGCGTCGCGACCAGGCGTTATATCACGTGAATCAACTGAAAGTAATAAATAACTACCATTTGTTATTCTGAGAAGAAAATATTAGACGGACAGGTACAAAGACCAAAGCAAACCTAATCTCTATTTCACTACTTTATTGCGGATTACGCAGATTACTTTTGCATTTACTATAATTCCAAATCACGCGACAGACTATAAAACTCAAATAAAATAAAAGTAATCTTGAAGAAAGAACGTTTCTACTGCTTCAAAGGAATGGTTGGCGAGTCGGATCACGCAGACAGGCAATCACTCGATAATAAACGTGGAGCGAGTCGAGAGCTATGCGGCGCAGTACGGCCTCACGTACTGCTGACGCCGTCTTCCGGTTGCATAGCCTGCTTCATCTACCTCGTAGAATATACTACACTAACTTTGTCCACGTTTTGTTCACACGGACTTACCTAATGTTGAGAGATGATTAAAACTTACAATTGAAGAAATATAGTACCTATATAAGTATTTTTTTTATAATAAGTAATTTCCGCTTAGATGCCAACAGTTATATGTTTTATATATATATTAATTACGTACATATGTACAGTATATGTATAATAGTTACACCGGACAGACAGAGATTACGCTATACATATACACGACGGTTGGTCCAAAATTGTGTCTAAAGGTCAATTATCTTCTTAATGACACAATAACGCATAGTTCGACTATATTATATTATAATACGATTTTTAAACCACAGTTATTATATTTTCGTAGTCATTATATTATATAGTATAAAACAAAGTCGCTATTTTTGTCTGTCCCTATGCTTAAATCTTTAAAACTACGCAAAGGATTTTGATGCGTTTTTTTTTTAAATATAATAGAGTGATTCAAGAGGAAGGTTTATATATATAATAATACATGTACACCCATGCGAAGCCGGGGCGAGTAACTAGTAGTTTAGTAACTACTAATAGTAAAAGCAATTCAGTTTTGTTGTATATGTATTATGAACTCTTATATATATATATTAATTACGTAGCCAGCCAGTCAGCGGTGTGACACTGAACGTCTTCTGCCCGAAAACTGACCGGCTATGTATTATGAGCGTTTCATTTGACAGATCTAAGCGGACGCAACTGTCAAAAAGACCGTTTAAAAACAATTCAGTTTACGGTGGCTTCATATGAGCTTTTATAGAATTGTTTTCTAATTTATAGCTTCATTATTGTAATTTGGTTATTATTTCTATTTCTATGTCAGTTTTTATTATGTTTATAACATGTTTGTGCAGTTATTTCGATTGTTTTTGTTTCGTTTTAATTTTAATTATGTGTGATGAACTCGAAGTATTGGAGTTTTTGGAAATGTGTGCACCCTACGAAAAAGAAGTAAGGAAAGTGAAAAGACGGCGATTACGCGACCAATCCAATCAAAATGAACAATTTAGAAAACGTTATAATCTAAATAAAGATTTGGTGCGTAATATGCGTGCGAACTCATATGCCGGTATCATCGAAATTTACAGACCTACCTTATATTATAATATTGTAATTTTTTAAACCACAGTTATTATATTTTCGTAAATACATATATAAAATTCCAAGGACATAGTTATTCTTTAGCTGACTATGTCAGGTTTTAGTAGCATTATTATTTATGCTACAGGCATATTTATCAACAGCCTATTAGTGATATTGCTGTGCATATTATATAGTAAATACATATATAAAATTAAAATCTGAGTAAAGGATAGATAATAAATATTCAAAGGTATCTATTTCTATACAATTAGCAACTGTTATTGTTGCAAATACATCTATGAGTACCATGTTTGATAATATATATGGTAAAATCTAGAAAGCAAGTATACCTACAAGTATGCAACAGTCTGATGATGTGCAGTCTCTCCGGCACTTTCCTCCGAGGACAATTAATTAAATTAAATTAATTATATTTTAGGTTTTATAATTGGAATTTGGAATGCTGGGTGTATTGGGCTGTATTTGACTGTACACAACCCCATTGTAAATTAAGAAGAGATATTACTGTAGAAAACAATACCATTCATTAAATATATAATTGGTAAGTGAAATATAAATTAAAAGACATGTTTAATAATATAAGCACTTTTAATATCTTTTTTTAATATAATTATATAAATTAACAATAAACAAGATTTTAGACATGCAAAATATGTTAATGATTATACATCTCTAAAGCTACTTATATACTAACAATAAATTGTTTACTTAAATATTAAATGACCATAACACTTAGACTTATGTTTCAAATAATCTTCATCATGTAATTAATCTGGAAAAAAAATTTAGGTTAGTAATGCTGACATGGAGATTATAAGTGTGGATGCCAACTGGAACTGGAGCTACTCATGACATTTGGGCAAACCAGAGGCATTAAGCAACATCTAGAGGACTTAAGCTGGAATAAATCCTTATGATTACTTGGTAAGCAGAAAATTTTATTATGAAACTACAAACATCATTACATCTAAGCTCTAAACTTCAGTAATTTAGAAACATAGTTATTTATCAGCACCAACAGTTATTGTGCTGTGTTTTTAATGAAATAATACTTTTTGTAAATAAATATTAATATTATAGTATATAATATGTTGTTTTTTTTTTAGGAGATCCAGGAAATGCTTTAGAGAAGTATACTCCCATCTCAAATGCTATACCAGGACCACAAGAAGCATATTACACTGTAAGAACATGGAATATCATTGAGAGCACAATTGGGCTTCTAGATTTAGATGCCTACATGTACTTTGAGCTCTTATAGAGAACTAAATGAAGGTCTTGCTGCTAGACAAACCCATGTTTTTTAGTTGTGGAACTAAGAAATTGAAACATTTATAAATAATAATATTGTTAATAGGTCAATGTTTTAATTATTTGTTTTTATAATAAATGATATAGGATTTGTCTTTTATTGGTAGTTATAATTAAAGGGATATTATTTTATATATCAATGACTTTGTCCATATGTCTAGTTTTTGTTAAAATAAATAAAATATCTCAAATAAAAGCAACTTGTTACTCCTTTACACAACTCATTACATATGACAGTGAAATCAAATTTGGTCCAGCTGTTTCAAAGATTAGCAAGAACAAACAAACGGACAGAATGCATTTACAAAAATAATAATTTTACAAACAGTCAATTTACATAGATACATGTATTTCAGATTTTTGATTCCTATTAAATGAAATAAATAATTCAGATGGTTACCTTATAAACTTAAACTTGACAATCCTTTCAAACTTTTCTAGTTTAATTGTTGAGCGACGTCCTCACACAACGTATGCGGACTTATTAAAGCCACTTGCCATTTCCCTATGGGATTTTAAAAATCCCATATAATTTTAAATTACCGGTACGATACACGACGTTGGCGAGGGGTTTCAGTTATCTACAATTTAGTTAGATAAATATACAAATATAAACAGTTAAATATTTGCATCATTTTAAAAAAACATTACTAAGAAAATGTTAGGAATACTTACGTTACATTAGGTATATTTTTATAATTGAATTATTAAATTTAACTTGCGTATAAAGTCATGGAAAGGCTAAGTTTCAAATTGTACATTAAAATCAGAATTAATACTTCGGAATTTTAAGTAGATGCCAGTTCGTTTGGATATTGAAAATATTTTTTACAAATAAATCCGGATTATTAAAAAAGACAATAAAACTGTCTGGAATATTTTTGTATAAACATATGTATCTTAAAATATAATACATTTATTTAATTATACAAGTGACACACAAAAACTCAACTTAACATTGCAACGAATGTATGTTGCAGATCCACTAACCAGCCAGAGACAAACTATCTAGGCAGAATACGGTTTGAATTTGGACCCTCATAATACGAAAAAGAACAATTTAGACTGGATTTTACTTTACATGTTTAGAGACTTTGAAAAACAATTAATTATCAAACAATGTCAACTCAAAATTGTCGTATCGAGTGTACGGAAATTTTAAAAATAATAATAATAATTTCATTGTAATTTTGTCTTACATAATGAAGTTTGCGTTCAAACAAATACGTATTCGAATGAATGCGAAAAACGAATAATTATCGATAATTTATATAGAATTATACTGCATTTCAGGTATCATACATCTTCCCAGGTTGTATTATTTTTAGAAAGCTAAACATATGAAAATATGAATTATACAATTATTTGTTGCAGATTACTACGCAATTAGATATTTGAATTGAGATTGTTTGAGAAACGAATAATTATATAATTTAATAAATTACTGAAAAAAAGAAATATAAACAGATCGCTATAATTTCTCAAATTTGGAGAAGTTATGGTAAGTATAAATTGCTTTATAAAATATCTTAGAGTCACTAGATGTAAATGGCTTCGTTTTTTTTTCTACGGTTTTGTTTATAAATAACTAAAGAAATGGACACGATAGTAGAGTCGGTGATAAACGACCTAGAGAAGGCGCCTCAACGTCGGCCGCTGGCCACGAAAAATACAACTGTCATCTTGACTGATGATAAAATAAAGCCTGCGTCATGCTTCGGTCTGCATGCTCAGGGATATTGTAATTCCTATAGATGGCAATCCAAAAACTCACTCCCTAAAAATCAACGTATTAGGAATGCACTTTTAATAATATAATTATCAATTTTGTAGAGGCAGACTTGCAACAAAGTTGTCGTCGTGGCTTTCTGTCTCACCTACATATATCAGAATTCAAATAACTACGAGTATATTTGCGGTTGAAGGGTGTGACATCTCAGTTCCCAGGAATGACATCGCAAATTGTACCATGGATTGCACATGATGACACAACGGCTGTGGTATGGTCTGTCGACACGTATTGGTGACAGTTACCACTAAGTATTATATGGACAATAATTTATTTTAGCACAGCAATTTTATTTCTTCGACTTCCAGTCTTGTCATCATAGCAGATACAATGTACAAGTATGGAATGACCCTATACTGTAGTGATTTCACAGATGTAGTTGTCGCTTAAGATCCTTGAATTAACTTAAATAATAAAAATACATTATGTACTAAAGTCAACTAAGCTAAGCTCGTTACTGGACAAAACTAACTAGAAAAAGGTACAAAAACAACTTTGCAAGCTAAGACTAGTTTTATCGCTCATGTGATGGGATCGGAATTCTATATTAGATATGGGCCAAGATGATCTTAGTCTGTTTTTATTTATACTACTGGATGTTACAACGGTATAAGGATAATTTTAAGACCAAATTATTCTCTTATATGGAATTTTATTCACTGAAATAATAAAAATCAAATATTATTACTTACAATATTAAATAAAATCAGTGTTCCACGAGAAAGGGAGTATATCTATTGTAAGTAATAAAACACAAGCCAATTGATTGTTGCTATTGCGGTCACGTCGCTCAGTTACTGTTTTCACGTCTGACGTAATAACGTTAGCAACAAAGTTATGGTACATACGTGACCTGTTACTCAGCACCATTCCTTACCACCACTGATCCTTCTACGTATCTTTTTGTGAGTTCAGGATATAGAAGAATCAATAATGTTATCAATTACTTGTACAATGAATTATTATTCTCTATTCTTTCCTGATAAATACATCTCGACTATTGTATATATGCAATGTATTTATGAATACGCTCATAAAATGTAGTTTAGCGTCCCGTTTGAATAGAAACGTAGTGGTAATGAGTGATGTGTGTGACATATTACAGGAATATACCGAGTATTTCTGCGTAAAACCATATAAATTAGATTGACATTGTCAAATGTCACATGCACCGTCCGTTAATTCATTCATATCGATTTTGTTGATGGTCACTAGCTACTAACAATTACTCTTAAACAAGCCACCAATGCATTTCTGGTACTTTTATTTTTACTTTCATCCAATAAAGGAATTAGCGTGAATGTAGAAATAAAAAATACATTATTAAATTGCAGCTTTATATTAATTTTTAATGATATTAGTAATAATGATATACATTTAAGCAGGAAAAGGCTTCATTTCGAACAGGATGATAAAATGTAAAAGAAAACTGACGTGTCAAAAGCTTCTATGATAATCCCATTAGAGGAAAAATATTTCTTATTCTGATTCAAATAGCTCTCGAACGGAATTGCGGGAAAAAATAAGAAAACATAAAGATACAGAATTCGAAATATTAATGTAAAAAATAATAAATGTTTTTACATTCGTACTTAATTGGGTACGGGCCGATGGGGAACAGCTGATTGAGAAACGATTGACTTGGGAGTGCTATTTAAGTACAGTTAAATAGTAATTATAAATAGGTCGCAAAAACGATTGGTAAGGCCGCAAAGAAGATTGCAACTGGTAACTCATCTGCGGAATAGAACCACCTGTGATTGATGACAGTATTTATTTCACTCTAGCTGCGAATATTTCATTAAGCGAGCTCTGCAGAGCCAAGCTATGCATCATAGGATATGTTCGGGAAAGCTGCGTCGACACTCTGATCCACTCAGCTTAGTACAGAAATTAATAGGCAAAGTACCATAACATATGACTGCGGCGAAGACTGCAGATGAATTAAATTCACCTTCATAAAACAAAGGTGGAAATACGGTTGCGTTAACACTAAAGAAATTAATTTTCTTTTACGGGCTACAAATACGTCGTTCTTGTACATGAATAACTATTAATTAACAAGACAAAAAATAAATCAATGAAACCAAACAAATGAAATTACTTTCAGAAGTTTTATTTTTATAACACTTAATCTTTTACGCAAATTAATCATTGTTTTGAAATAACAAACTTTTATAAACAGAAAAAATAGACAATATTGATGGTTTCAATTAAGTAATGAGCACTTGTCATTACTTAATTGAAACAATTAATATCAACATCTTAGCCATTACAGGTTTCAATTTCAAGGAAGAATTTTTAAGAAATTTAATTTTAAATTAAATATAACGAGAAATGTACTTCTTTGTATTCCATGGAATCACTGTGCGAGCGCCGGATCCACAGTGTGGCAGAAAGGAAAATTCCGAGCAGTTCCCGGGACGGGATCCGGGTATAGAAATAAGAGGCTCCTTTGCGACGTACGTCAACACTTACCTTTACCGCTCGTGTTTCTCTCCCTGCCCAATAAAATCAGGTAAGAGCCTGCTAGTGAAACTTTAGATACATGTTCTAGTATAGAAGATAGTTGTTGAAAAATTGTAGAGATTTTGCTGGTACACCTCTCATTTCCACTTCGATCGTATATAAATTAACCAAATAGCCATTTTTAATCCTCTGCGATTTTATAATGCTGTTCATAGGTGCCCATTAAAAATAGTCCAGCCAGGTGCAATACCACAGATTGAGAAGGGCTTGTTTTTGGAGTATAAAGTTTATTTGTCTTTTGATTGTGGTCAATCCTGGGCTCTAGCTACTGAAAGACTTACATATAATTTGAAGTATTCTATTATGAATTATATGTACCTAGATCATAAAAGAGTTCAATTGAGAAATGGTTTCTTGTATTTCAAAAACCTTACAAGAAATAAAGCTTACAAACGTTATTCCAGTAACCCGTAACGAACACCGAGAAAGTAAAGTATGATGAAAGTTCGGTAAAGTATGGTTCGAGGAAGTTGCTACTGCAAACATCGCACTGTGAGGGGTTGCACGTACAAAACTCCAGGCAAATCTGAGTACGAAATTCGCAGAAAGTTTATCCACATACTCATACTTTTAGAATTTAGTACGTGCCTAAACTAATGGCCACTGTGTGCTAAAACGGTGTATATGATTCATTTTGTTTTCTATAAGGTGGTCTAAATATAGTTAAACTTGTAATGAATGAAGAGAATAAATGCCTTTAAGAAATGCTAGGGCAACTCGGGTGATTAAGTGTCTCATTTAAATGTATTCCCCCGACACGGACG